CAGCATTCTACGTGTCTACACCACCTCCTCAGGAGCCTTGTTTGGCTCTAGCTGCGAACCTCCCAGACATCTAAAACAGCCCACAACAGAGCTGGTCTGGTCATCACTGGGACTCCAGGTCACAGAGCAAGTTCGAGGGTCTCAGCTTGTTTCTCATTTCTTCTCCATTATTCCCAGTAAAATGAGATGGGAAGAAAAGTCAGGAGAACGCAGTTTACATCACACATCACCAAACAAACAGACTGTCCTTCTCTGAAAGGACCCTCACCTCTCACCAGTTCCCGGGTATGCTTTTCCAATTCGATAATGGACAAAAAGGTTGTATTCTAACGTTCGCATGAAAGGACACTTCCTTAGTCTCAGCCACTCACCCTACTTCATTAGGAATACAGACTGCATTAGCTTCCGCTGGGTCCACATATGTAGCATGGCACTGCCCCCAGCTATGTGGACAGTAGGCATGATCGGGAATAGCACCGACAGCACAAAGGACAGCTACACCTGACAAAGGTATGGAGCCACAGGTGTTGTGGGGGAAGAAAACACCACACCTGGACTCAGAAGCCATGGGATAGGTACAGGCTCTGCCATAAGCTGGCTATATGATCCAAAGAATGTCACTCCTCTGTCTCCTCCTCTGTACAATGGGCAGAGAAAGAACCCACATCACAGGCCTCTTATTAAATCAGGATGAAATCAGACAAACGTGAAATAAACCTTACAAATCACAAATCACGGCATAGATCTGGGATCGTGTTTATGGTTATGTAGCACTGTTGAAAGTGATGACGAGTTTTCAAAGCCGCGGGGAGAAAGGATAAAGCAGTAATTCTTGAACTGTGGTGCACGCAAGAGTCGTCTCAGGTCTCATTTCGAAGAACACCTGCCTGTTTCCCAGGTGATTCTGATTTAAGCTAATGGCTTCGAGACCCTGGGATAAGGGATTGTCTGAGAATGGATTCCCGTTCATTCATCAGATATTTTAAGTACTAGGAAGCCTTAGAGGATACAAATAATTACAAGATACTGCTCAGATGTCAAGCAACTATGTGTAGAGGGAAGACAAGCTTCTAGAAATAGATAAAATATGAGGTTCTGTGCGTCAAAGCGGAAAAAGCAGCCCTAAGTGACATCTCTTCTGGTTTCCCCCTTCAACCAGAAACTAGAAGAGGCTCCATATTCCCTGGAAGGAAACTCTGGTTCTCTCTTACTCCTGGATAAAGTAACATCGTCGGTGCCCTCCGAGGCATGAACCTTACTCCTAGGCCCCAAGAGTCGATGTGAGGCAGAGAAGTCTCGGCCAGGAATCAGGGAGGGAGTCTGTATCCCATCACCTCTCCTGGAAAACCAGACCTGACCGTGAAGGGACATCTCTTGCCTGACCGTGGAGGGACATCATCTCTCACTCAAAAGGTTCATCTCCAATATTGAACAAAGAACCCTTTTCATTCTGGAGAACTCCTGTTTCATGTGCTACCGGTAAAGCCTGAACAAACCAACCACGGGCATGGGCAGCCGCAGAGACTAGAATATGAGACTTACCCTCTGAAAGTTCCCCTTTGAATCTCCTCCCTAAGGCCAGTCCCCAAGAGAGCATTTGGGCACAGCAAAGCAGTGGCTTCAAAGTCACAGTAACTTTCTGTGTGCCTGGGAGGAGATAGAGAATGTCCCCTTCCTTTTTACTGAAACTCCCACTGTCCCTTTGTACGGGTCCCAAGAACACAGAGAAAAGAGACCTGGTCCAAGAGTCAAGAGGCCTGGGTTGGCGTTCTGCCCCTGCCAGTAGCAAGCTAGGAAACCATCTCTCTTCTCTTTGGCCACATCCGTTTCCAAAGAGGAAAATTTAGGAGACTGACATCTACCCGAGCTACTTCACAGGGTTCACAGGAAGGCTAGATGAAAAACTCCTTTGAAAAAGTAAAAAGGTGTCCCTGGAATATAAGAAATTAATATTACACCCCAAAGTCCAATTTTCAACCTTCGAATTATCCAATTTGATTACAAACATTGTCCCCCAATTCACTAGATAACTTTCCATCAGCTGCTTTGCTTTGAAAGTAGAGGCTGGTCCTCTGATATGTCCCCACCTCTGATTCCTTTGCAGATAAAGACCTGCAAGACTCGGTTCCTGGGCCTATTGAATCCTCTCTGCCTCTGGCAGGTGTGCTGTGGCTCCCCAGGCCTACAGAAGCTTGAAATGCCCCTGCTCTGCCCGGGACTCTCCCGCCCCCAGCCTCAACCTGCCCACACAGATCTGGAGGTACCCAAGAACATCTGATCCCGATTGCATTCATGTGACACCTTTGTTCAGCGCTAAATTCACTTGAGAGGGGAAAAAAAAACACCTCAACCAGGAAATACATCTTTTACAGCCATTTCATCCTCCCCTCACGTGGCGCTGGAATCTCGCTTTAAAGAACATTCTTGTGGCATTTCCAGTTCTTTTCCTTTTAGGACTGCAAACAGGACTAGCCCATCCAAGGGGAAACTACTCCCCAGCAGAGCAGTTCTTCAAAGGGGACTTCTTCGGGCAGGAAAAGGGAACGTCTGATACTGGAGCTGAATAAACAGACTCGTGGAGCTGAGTGCCAGATTGGAAAACCAGGCCCCTGACCGTGCAGCCGCCAGCCACGCCGCCTGTGCGCTGCGTCCCTCTCCTCCCTGACCCTCTGTCTCTCTCTCTTTGGCTTCCATTCTGTCACCCTCTTCACCAAATGCCTTCATGTGCCTGGGTATATAACAGTTGTTTGTATTATCATTAACCTAATAACCTAATAGGCTCTACAGGTTCCAAAGCCCACTTTTTTTTCTTTTTTTTATTTCGTTTCAAAATTTTACGGGGTACATATGTTTTGGTGACATAATTTGCTTTTGTATAGTTTAAGTCGAAGCTGTAAGTGTGCCCTTCAGCCAGGTAGTGGGCATTGTACCCGTTAGGTGTGAATTTACCCATCCCTTCCTTTCCCCTCCCACTACTTGATTTCCCTTGAATTTTACTTCCAAATGTGCACATAAGTGTTGTCGATTCGTTCTAATTTAGTACTGGGTACGTGTGGTGTTTGTTTTTCCATTTGTGCGACACTTTCGCTAAGAAGAATGGCCTCCACTTCGATCCGGGTTGTTACATGAGATACTAGATTTCCATTTTTTTTTATGGCTGAGTAGTGCTCCATGGTATACATATACCATAATTATTAATCCACTCATGTATTGACGGGCATTTGGGTTAATTCCACATCTTTGTGATTGTGAATTGTGCTGCTATAAACATTCAAGTGCAAGTGTCTTTTTTATAAAATGTATTTTTTTTCTTTGGGTAGACACCTAGTAGCGGGATTGCTGGATCAAATGGTAGGTCTACTTTCAGTTCTTCGGGTATCTCCATACTACAAAGCCCACTTGTGAATCACAGATTGGTTCCATCCTCCCCACTCACGCCGCTCTCTTTGTCTCTCAACGTTCACATGTCCCCACAGCCACAAACCTTCCTCAGAAAGCAGCTCCTTTTAAAAGCAGAACAGATGATTCAAACATACGATGTTGCAAGCCCTGGATGGGTGGCTGATAGAATCCTAGAGTTTGATGGAACCTCCAAAGGTCATTTTTTTTCCCCCAGGAAAAACTGTAAATTTACTCTCTCAGAAAGATAATTGTCTACCCTGCACTTTTTGAAAGAGTCCAGTCCCATTTAAAACTCAGTTCAGTGGCTCACGCTCTATAGTAGAAGTACTTCCAAACAACTAACCTAAATGTTTGCTCTCATTAGTTTTTCTACCTGAATAGCTGGTCATACACAAAATTACAAACCACAGGTCATAGCAGGGTTTAGGCTCAGAAACTGGAATTCATCTTTCACATACTGGAAAATTTGGGGTTTTCTCTTAAATTTTAAACAATTATACCGGTAAATGTTGTAGTCATTCAGTATGTATATATCCATACACAGGCACATGGACGAAGACAAATTTCTATCAATTTCCCACCTCACAACTTCAATCCCATCAGGATTTTTTTTTTCCAAATATCCAAAACTTAGGCAGAGGGTCTCACTCTCACCACTCTGTTCTTAATGGCTAAACTTTTTTTTTTTTTTAGATATTTCTTTGAGGAATAACCTTGCATGATAAATGTCCTTGGAAAACATTTATAAAATTCTCTAGGAACTGATTTAAAAATAAGAGATCGGCTCAGGAATTTACTTAGCTTCTGTCCGTAACTGGCTGCTGGCTCATTCATTATCGTACTTTGTGACTATCCCGTATAAAATACGTCTTTAACTGGATCTACAAACCTTACGTTCCAACAGAAACAATAATAACAAAGAGTCAAAATAAAGAGAATGATTAAGTAAATATCTGGCCAGTAAGGATCTCCTAGAGATAAAGAATTTTTAATTTTTTCCCAATAATAAGTGTTTAAACTCAACTATTCAGTCATAGCCCACGTTCCCATCAATATCTATGAATAAAAAGTTATCTTTTAAAAGACCATTTGAGCCCCACACTATGAGTCACATTTTCAGAATGTCCATTCTGAATATTTGTCAGTAATTGCTATGGAGCAATCACAAGGACAATTCAATAGTCCTTGTGGTCATTAACCACCACAACCGACAGACGTCAAGATTAACCATGAATAATAAATTTATTTTAATATTTTCTTAGAGCTGTGAGTGTCTATTTTGGGGGGAAAAAGGAAAACAATTCTAATTCAGCCACCCAGATGCTGTCTGACAAATGATACCTAAATATTTAGTAATATCTCATCAACAAATAGATTTTTCGTTATTTAACTGATTTTTATACAGGCACCACCATCAATTAATTGCCTGTCAAATTAAGAAGAATAAAGATCAGTGACTATTTTTAACCAGTAGGGCTCTAAAAGGCACCTCCTGTCCATTTGACGTGTATAGATTAGGTTCTCCGTTGTGCAACCATTGGCACAAACATCACCTTAGACATGCAAAAGAGACAAGGTGGGACATTCATTTCAGTTACCTTTGCCCGGGCTTTATTTGTTCTGCAGATAAAACACTTTTGACTTCTTTACCCAACCAGTCATCTTGCACAAACAGTAAACTCCCTCAAAACTTTCTGTTCCCATGGGACCCTTGAGAAAACAAAATGAAAAAAAAAAGCATGATTAATATCTACTTTCTTCGGTCAACATCCTAATATTGAGCAATTTCTTGACATCTTAAAAGGGACTGTCCTGGCGTCAGACTGAGAGTTAGTGAACTCTCCATTGATCAAATAACTGGAACCAGTAATAACCGGAGTCGGAATTCTGAGGTTGCAAACACTTGTTCTGTAACCATTTCCCATTCCTCCCCATAGCATCACGAGGCCCTTATCCACATTCACCCTTTGTAAGCAGAGGTTTCTAAATTTTTAGATAACATCCCTCTATTGATAAAAACAAACTTTTGAGCACATCCAACCTGTGTATTTTTATTTATATACTACGTTTCTATTACTCTAGTGTGTGTGTGTGTGTGTGTGTGTGTGTGTGTGTGTGTCAAAAACATATGCACCAAAAACTCTTAAGATGAAATAAAAAATTTAAATTAATGGGATTAATATTTTCTTTCTGCACATCAATGGATCATTTTGGATTCTCCGTGGAGCGCAAATACCCTACTTCCAAATCCACTGCTTTAAGGCTACAGCGATCTGTCATTCTCCCAAACTCAATCACTACTTCGCTCCAATCAGAACCTGTTTTCAAGAATAGATCTGCTATCGATCATTACCATCTTCGGTGAATAAGGGCCCATCATTATATTAATACTTCCAGCAGTGTTTACATTTTAAATATATGTCTAATTATGAGAAGACAGCTTTATTTTGTGTTAATGTAATATCAGAGATGTCACAATAAATCCTGGTATTTGGAGGACTGAAAATTTCTCTTAGTGGCCCTGGTCTCAGACAAGGTGGGAAGCTCCTCATTGATTACATAGGCAGTGGCTGCACCAAAATTTGTAAATAAAAGGTTTTAGGGACAGCGAATTGGTTAGCAAAGGGAAGCGTAGGGATGACACATTGGCTAGGAAATTTTCCCGAGGCCAACCCAAGTTTCTGCTTAAATTGTATGTTCATTTAAGGAGTCAGAAGGCGGGGGGCGGGGGAGGGGGCAAGAGGAAATACTAATAGACATTATAGAGGAAGAACCGAAGTCCTCCAAGCCACCCGATGGCTCCTTCACCAACAATAAAAACTGGATAAACTCCCACAAGGGCAATATGGAAATTCAAAGGCCTTGTAGCTTCAAGTTGAGGAGTTAGACAAAGACTTCCATAATTCAAGAAAAAAATCATTTTTGCCCCCAATACTTGCATAGCTTAAGTACTTAATGTTTGTCATAAACGTATGAAAAGAATTTTCCCAGAGAAAAAGGTGAGCAATACTCTAGAATTGTTTTTATTTTTGTGAATATGAAGTTGAGGTTTCTTTTAAAAAAAAAAAGGCTGAAATTATCCATTACCCATATGTATTGATCCAATTCACCATGTAACAGCAAAATAGTCTATTTAACTTTAACCTAACAAAAGGAAAATAGAGACTGGAGAGAGGTGATCAGCTATTGAGAAGTGTCTCTTGCGTATGTGTGTGTACATACACTACACATACACACATACATATTTGTGTGTATAGAGAAGCTCCTGCAATTCAGCTTACCATCTCGTTGGGCAAATCAGGTGCCCATGAAAAATTATAACATAATATATCATCAGGCAAAAAAAAAATAACATGCCATAAAACATACCAAACAAGTACATGCTAGCAGAATGAAGAGTAGGATATAATCAAAATCTGATTATTATGAATTTCCAGAAACAGTAAGGACAGGCATTTCAGATAAATAGATTGGCTTGAGAAATGGAGGGAAGTTTAATTTAGCAAATCATACCCAGGGGACACAAGAAGCACTAACATAAGAAAAGGACCCATATTGATGAAGTGTGAGACATGAAGTTAAAGTTAGTGAATTGATAGAGGACAATTGATATGACAAGCCAAAATTTGGTTTTACTTAAAACATCCAGGTAAATAAAACAACGTGTGTGTTGTTGCTGTTTTACTTAAAATATCCCCTATAAGGTCTTTTCATGCTATGTGAGACAACACAGATATTTAGATACAACATCAGAAGGCACAACATGATACTAGTTTCATGGCAGGGAACTTGACCTGTGTGCCCAGGAATTCTGTCTGCTCTTGGACCTTTCCAAGCTTTGACCTTTGCTTCTGAAATGTCAAGGTATCTCTTGTGTCATCATGAACCGCCTCCCCCAGCCCCTCAGAGCTGTACCACTGAATGAACATAAACTATGCCAAAACCGATAAGACCTGAGAATTGCTGACCACCACCAATTCTTCTGTCAACATTCCTGTCCTGAAATCTCCTTTTACTTTAACAAACTATATCACCTTCCTTTAATGGCACAAGGGAGAAGAAAACGAAGGCAACTGATCAATTGCTTCTCTCCAAAAGATAATTCTCAGGAGGGAAACTGAAACCACATGTCTAGTTTACCCTGCGTTGTCTGCGGTCACCGTCTTGCTTTGTAATTGCCACAGGTGGGTCCACCTGCACACCATCAAAACTGCTAAAAAGAATGGAAGCTCTTCGGGGCAAAATCTGACTTTTCAACTTCTTTTATATTCCCTTCTATGAGTGAAAGATGCTAGTTTCAGCCTACATGCACAGCAGGAACTCACCAGGCTTGTTAAGCAACAGATGAATACCCGTTTTGCTCAGACTATGTTTTAAAGAATGCATTTTGAAAAGAATGCGTAGATGAATCAGTTCATCAAGGTGATCAGCAAGCTAAGGATCAGACACAAATTTCATTCATTCTGGTTATTAAGAAAGTCAAAATGACAAGACCACAAATTATCAGAATAGATGTTTTGCTTCTTTCATAACCAAATAGATACTATATTGAGATTTATTGCTCAGCAGTTGATTGTGAAAACTGTCATGTCATACTAAAGCTAATTAAGCTAGATTTTAATTTCCATGAGGGCAGGGACTATGACTATTATGTCAACATGTTGCCCCAGCACCTAGCATAGTACCTGCCACATAGTAGGTGCTTACTGGAGTTTCTCATTAAGATGATTGCATCGATTCTTCCCTTCCTTAAATGCACAAACCGTTCTCCTCTTGTGAGGTAGAATCTATTTCTTCAACTCCTGGAATCTGGGTTCGCCGGTGACTGCTTTGGCAAACAGAAGATGGAAGAAGAGACCTGCATGACTTCCAAGGCCAGGTTTAAGAACCTTTGCAAATTCCATCTGGAGTTTTTAGGACACTTGCTTTGAGGATGTCAGTCACAATGTAAGAAGTCTGACTACCAAGAGGCCAACAGGCTCTGGGAAAGCCCAAGCTAATCAAGCGGAGAGAAAGAGAGAGATTCCTGACTAGCCCAGCGCCAGACATATAAGGGAAGAAGCCATCAGATGGTTTCAGCCTCAGCTGCAACCTGACTGCAACCGTATGAGATTCAGCAAGCAAGAACTGCCCAGCTGAGCCCACCAACCCCAAGAACCATGAGTGATAGTAGGAAATTGTTTCATTAAGTCACTAGATTTAGGGTAGCTTATTACACACGGCAATAGATAACTGGAACAGTGTTTGGTGTTTATTGAATAAGTAAATGGATTAATAAAAGAAGCCACTTAGAGTAAAGGGTTCCCAAATGAACCTGATGAAATCCATTAAGTAAATTATTTAGGTGATGTCAACAACAGTAAAGACTATCAGAAAATTGGACAACTCTGTGGGTAATTAAGGCCAAGAGGAAACCTGCTACAGAATAGAGAAAGTAATTTTTTGAGAGTGGAATTTTCCAAATTCACTAACCATCTTGACCGTAGTCATTAGATGATTGCTCAATGCCCTACTTCCCTTTCCACAAAGTAAACTCATGATTGTGTTTCAGCCATGATCCCAGGTACAACATAGGAGAAAACATTAACCAAGAAGAAATATGGGTAACCAGGGAAAATAGACTTCGTGTAGCCTGAATTTTCTATGAAGACTCTAACTCTCCTCTATGCTTTTCATTTTGTAAAACAGACTTTGGTCCAGGTAACACTGTGTAAAACAACTAAATATAGCCAAAGTTCAGGGTGGGTGGGAATGGAAAAGGGAGGCTAAATGCTGGGCGCTGGCAGTTATTACGTCATCACATCCCCCATAACTGTGCTGTTATGCACACAGCACTCTTCAGCTGGATATGGTCACCACTTCACAATGATAAGAAGATTAATTAATGACATGATCCAAATCTTTCATTTCTTTGATGATTGCAAATCAGTCTGAGTCACTCTACCATCATTCTTACTACAGACACAATAGCTTTACTCGTTTTGGGTAAGGAAAATAAATATCAAGAGGATGTATTTAATCTTCCTCAGAGTTTTAACTTTGTGCCTTTTCAGATGCAATCACAGCAGGATCTGGCCCTCCCTTTCCTGAGCATCTACTTCTTGTGGCAGAACAGGTCCTTCCTAGTGCACAAACCCCTCCACCTCCTCTTGATTACAGAATATTCCCCACCCCGCCCCAACGTGGACCCCAAAACCCCCCATTCCCAAAGAGATCCCAACTTTGTCAGAGTGCGAAGGTTGTGTTCAGAACCAAATGAATAAAATAGAGAAATGCTCTAATTCTATACAACCAATATGATAACATAGTTTAAAGCAAAAAATATACATATGACTGGCAGTCCTCATGGATCCAATAAACCAGAGTATCATCAAATCCTCCTCCTTTTGGCTGTGCAGACAGGACCCAGAGCTCAAGCTCAAGGTCAGTTATTGGGCAAGCAGCTCCTCATGGTCACTCTGAACTCTGGAAAGAAAATGGCTTTGGCTGGGGCAGAATCTAGGGCAGTCATTAAGGAGAATTATCAGATTCCATGGACAGAAAATCTTGAAATCTAACTTCAACACATGGGGACATCTTTCTTATTTCCTATTACTCTGTAGTCATTCTATTCAAATTGATTAGAACGATTTATTATCTGGTATTGTCTGACACTGGGGATACAGAATTGAGTAAGAACTATCCTCAAGGAGCTTTCCAGAGAAGAGGGG